CCAAAATTGCACGAATCGTTCAATTTATGAAGCGTCCTTCAATTTGCTCCAATTCGATGCGTGAAATCGAAATTTCATACATCGAAATTCTGGAGCGATCAATAGCAAGCGACAAGAGAAATATTTTAGGAAAGAATTGCTCATTTAAATGAAGCATTCAAATTCGCCTTAATTAGTCATTCTTTTTCGCTAATGTCGCAATGAAATTTACAGATATTCCTTCTTCTGTGAAGCAGATCTTATTCATGGTGCAGCGTTTGTGCAGGTATAAAATATGTCATGAATCAAGACCCCTAAGAAAGCTTTTATCTTGTGAATGTTTTCGTTCGAAAGCTTGAGCCGAAAACCGTGAATGAGAAACTTCGTCTAAAGCATGAATACATTCTGCACTAGAAATATATCCAGCACATCTGCTGTTCGGGAATTACACCGCATGCAGACACCCAACGGTGAGACTGAGGTTGCTGCTTAGGGTTAGGCTGGATTAATGTCCAGGCGGCAGCCGAACCTCACATAGGACTGGAACTAACTATGGAAATGAGTCCCGTGTTCGAATTATTTTGGTTGCGTGTTTGCGCACGGTATGGCTCCTAATCAGCAGAAGTGCTGCATGTCCACCGTTGATGTGAATTTATGATATATAAACGCGAATATTTGTCTTATGTACTCTATCTTAAAATTTGATCTTTCTTCTGTCTTTTGCTTGTAATCTTCGTGCAGAGGGACGTTCCTCTAGCATGAAAGATTCATGTCAGTGAGTTCAGTGAATGAATAAATGATAAACGGACCAACAATAAGCGAATCATTTTTGAAGGCAATTGTCCCGATAAAACCGGCACCGAATAACAACAATCCACCGGTCCTAAATGTGCCTTTTGGTTCACCTCAGGTGCCTTTTGGTTCACCTCAGGTGCCTTTAGGCCCACCACTATACGACGATCCTTTCCCAAGCTTGCCGGCGTTTAAACGTCCTAAACCTCTTCCAGGTACTTAAAAGTGTATTGTTTTCGTGTTTTCATCATTTACTTTCTACGTTTCGACGTTCAAGTAATTGAATATTCCTATACTGAACAATTACCTTTCACAGATAATCGCACGATGCGGTCAGCACTTTAGGACTGGATAGTCATTATATTAATTGAAGTCATCGCCTTTCATGTTGCGTCGTATTTTGTTAGAACCTTCTTCATGCTGCTACTGAATAAAATGGTTCTAACGAAGAAAAACGCAGTTTTCGAGATTATAATCTTCCGTTCGTATTCTTCTCAAATTTGGGTTATTCTTAACGTGAAATCCCAAATTTTTCAAATGAAGATTTCGAATTGTTCACTCCATTCAAATTATTATTCAGTTGTGAGTTACAATTATCCCGATGAAGACGGTGATGGTGACAATGCATTGGATAACAAATTATGCGATAGAATCAACGGGATGCTAAAGCAACTCATCGAGCCAATCGGTGTATTGCAATGGGAACTGAAGAGTTTCCTCGGTTCGGGTACCGGTAATGCTATCGACAGTTGCCGTAAAACGTTTACGAATCTGGATGATTGGGGCGCAAAATGCGTAGCACTCAAAGAGCAATCAATTGGGGCGAAGGCCGCGTGCTGAGCGACGATTCGCTTTTGTTCTTGATGATCAGTGGAGGAGTGTGTGACAGATTATGGCGATATTCTGGTTTTTGAGAAATTTATGACCTGTTAGTGCGGATATTAATAAACGAATAAATCGATTTACTTGATACAGTTCGTTTACTTGATACAGTTGATACAGTTCAATGCCAACAACGAAATGATCGCAATGATTACAGACACTCGGCTGAATCAAATCTTACTGTTCCTAATCCATACATCTTATAACGTGCTACTTCCGGATTACATTCCGGATATTACTCGAACCGGGAGAATTATGTGAGAAGCGTTTTTCTTAATTGTAGCGGTAGTATTTCAGATGCCTCAGTGCGATTTTATGAATTCCTTTACCTTTTTTTTGCTTAATCGTTGATCAGTGAATGCTATCAATAACAGGTTACTCCTTGCAACACCATTTTTGTGCTCCATTGACGCTTTTGTACTGAATTGTCCGGCTGTGAAGAAAGAAAAAAGCATTGGATCACCAGAGAGGCGATTGTGCGCAGCGATTGCCGATTCCGATGAATGAACTCAATAATTGCTACAAGTTTTTCTTTCCATAGTCAGTCTGAAAAATATATTCTTT